CATGGAAATACAAATAGAGATGAACATTTCTTCTGCGCAAAACAAGTTCAATTATGAAAAAAAAAACAATTACAATAAAGGTATTTTCCAGCCAATAACAAGACATGATGATCAGGCACTAAACAGATATATGCATGTACTAAGCTACAAAAAAGCAATGTAAAATCAAATGGGATGTATTGGTTTTTATACTTAAAGGTTATTCAGAAATGTGAATATTATCTAGAACAAAAGTAAAATAAATATGTTCATCTTAAGACCTATTTCAAAATGTTTTAGTCATCTCCTCCTTACATACAACAATTTTTCTTCACACTTCACACAACATTTTCCACATATGTTTTAACCACCAGGAAAAAAGAATCATCCTATTAACACATTTCAAATGGTATGTGGTAGAAAATATTGACACAGTGAACAGAAAATGGATATATTTTAATCAGTGCAGCACATTTTTTTATTAATGAATACCAATATTTTGGGTAGAATTCTTGAGCCTCTTCTTTACTTCTTTAAAGTATATAATACAGCTTTTCCATTACGGAAAGGACCTGCAGTCACACATGGAACAGACTGACTCCATCTGCGTCTTCCTAGAGCCTTTGAAGTCTGTAATGCTCATGAGGTGCAAATATTTCTGTAGCTATAGAGTCTAGTTCAGGATCTGTGTATGCCCCAGGTAACCTCACAAAAATATGTTTGTGGTCTCTGAAATTAGGTGATAAAATGTTACCACATTTTATTTACACCATATTCCTTTCATGAGATGCACTCCATTGCCACAATTTAAATTCAATGCCCAGAATTTATGAAGTTCAGTGAGATAAGCCTCTGTACTATGGTAATGCCCTCATTTCTGTTGTCTGCTGCTCTGTGCAGGTCTAGAACACAAGGCAACAAAAGTGCCAAATGGCAGCCAAACATAAAAAGACCTGCAACTAAGCATAAAAATAGCATCATCCAAGTATAGCTCTAGTAGCTGTGCAAAGATACCAGGCAAAGATATACACTAAACCCAAAATGAGGCAATGAAACAATCAAAGTGGATAAGCAAAATGCTACAGGAACTAATATATTCACTTCTACATTTACTGAAAGACACTATCCCTTGAATTTTGGATGGTTGCCATAAAGTTGAAAGTGTTACTCTGTAATGGCATTTGTACTTGTACTTCTATAGAGGTAAACATGTATGAAATGTATAAGGCAAATGTGCACAAAGTGAATACTAGTCCCTTCAGATTATGGCTCTGCAGCAAAAAGGAAATTTGACCAAAAAGATGAAATAAGTAATTTAACCTTAGGAAACTGGTGAAACAGAAGGCAAGACAAGGAAAGGCCAGGCAAGGCAAAGTAAGGCAAGGAAGGAATAAAGCTGTCAATGAATATTTTGCCTTATACACGTGTACATAAATATATACATAAAAGCTTGAGATCACAATTCACAAGCCTACTGTCCACCCATCTCAATTTGCATGCAAACCATCTTCCCTAGGCTGCTCCTAGTGTGACACCGGCTAGAAGATGTGTGAAGGTGACAGATGGAGTGTACCAAGGAGTGCAGAAATAGTATGTGGGGTTTAGATGTGAGGACACAAGCATAAACAAACACCTCTCTTTTCCCAGCAGATTTTAACCATTGACATAAGTTATTCAGACATTAAACAAGTAGAAGATTTGAATACAGGGAACATAACATATGAAGTGAGTTACGCAGTCTCTTGTTTCCTTCAGGACAAGTTTGGGGGGGGCTGGGAAACAACCCAGATGCTCATAAGTGTCACACAAACAGATAAAAGTTCCCATCTAGTCATGCCTAAGCACCCTAAAGGAAAACAGAATTTCTGTAAAACAAATATAAGGAAGGCTGTAAGAGTAATATTTTGACAGATTGAGTCAATAGAAAAGTTCCCTTTGTGATAGTGAGAGCTGCTTAACTTATCTCCTGATCTTTCCTGATAAAAACAACTTAAAATTATGGCAAAAACAATCTGATGATAATCAAGGAATAAAAGGTCCACTTTCACACAATTTTGTGCTCCACAATTTTATGTTTCCTGTATGCCTCTGGAAAGTCTAAAACCATCAGCGGGTGAAACTTAGTCTGTCCAAATTTGTGCCTTAATGTTTTGGACCTGCTAAGGGTGAGACCAATGGAAAATCACCTGTTAAGCAGCAAGGCACCTCAAAATTCACAGAACGTAAAAGGAGAGAGAAGAATTCAAGGCAAGCCATTTGATCAGGAGAAAGGCTATAGCTAGAGGTCATTTTCTGTGGTGGCCTTCCTCCCCTCTTCTCATGGAAACACTTAGATAAAAGAATACATTTGCTATCAGTTTGTGCTATCCACCAGATCATCAGATAGAACTATTGACCTGTATGTTTTCTGTCATAAAATCAATAAAAGAAAGAAAAAAATTGCAAGAAAAAGAAAAATAGCAGCACAAAAGTTCAAGCTGCTGAGAGTAGCACTTTTTAGACTATATTTGTGTGTTCACATTGAGAGATTATAATATACTTCTCACAATTTCATTACAAATTAAAATTTTGCCAGATAATAATGTTCTCAAAAATATGTAGTCCTGACATTTAGGAACTTCAGAGCAGGTATTAAAGCAATACTGAACTTCAAATTACAGGTTCAACTTTCTAAATAGTACTGTTAAACAGAAATATGGATGAATAACACTCATCCTGGATAAAACAGAAACAGGCATTTGTATGATGGTGATTGCTGACTTCAATGCAAGAACAGACATTTACCTCCACTGAGGGTCTCACCTTGACATACCAAGATACAGTGAACACAGTTTCATTCCTGGAGCCTCTATGAGCACAGGCCAAGGTCCAGGTCCTCAGCTACAAAGTTGTGGGGATGCATCAGTTGAGATGTCTTTGGTCTGAATACAACCCAAACTGGATTATACATCTAAGTTTTAGAAAGTGACCCTTAATTTCCTAATCCTCCTGACTATAACCATTGTGAGTGGTTTCTACAGTGCTCCTACCCCAGAGCCTTATCCAGAAGCCTTTACTCAGGAAGAGATTCACTTCTGAGAGAAAAGTATAAAAACAAACTTCACATGTTGGTCCATCATCAGACATTAAAGGGCATAATTTATCTCTTTTTTTACATTATTAAGAATATTTGTACAGGATCTATATTTAAAACTAAAAGAGATGTCTCCTCCTTTTGCTAGCAGCTGTGTTACATCAATTAAATGGGTAAATAAGATCTTTCCCCAGAGGGGATATCACATGACCCTCTATTGATTAAGACTGCAGTAGAATGTTATTTGCAATCTTATTGCATAATGTAAATCAGGAGGTAGCTGTCAAGGTTTCAGAAGACAAATTGCCACTATCTTAGAAAATTCATAGGCCTCTTTCCTTCTTGCTGCTCTTAATTCACAGTTAATGCATGTCTTACCAGGCTTAGTTTCTTAAATCAGTCTATAGAACCCCATTCAACTCAAAACTGGATGCAAGTCGTAGTCTACATGGCCCTGCATTACAATGGGTATTAAACAGACCATTCCATCTATCATTATTTCATAAATATGCATTATTTAATAGGACAACACAACTTCAAAAAAGGATGTGAACTGAAAAATAGACACCTCCTGCAACATGCCTGACGATTCCCAGGACAGAAAATCCTCCCCATCAGGCTCCAGAGGTGCTCTCCATATAGAACATTATTTAAGTTTAGCTCAATTTTGTTTACTTGATTTTCACAAGTAAAACATATGGTTAGAACTAGTCCACTACTCTCAAACTTGTGCAGTAACTGGAGCTGAGCATCAGTTTTGAGACTGGAAGAAACACCTGACCACAAACCAGAAGTCACTTTGCTTCTCCACTGAACTGTAAATCATCATTATTTCCTTTGAGGGAAAACCAAAAGGAAAGACTGAAATCTCCATTCAAATTACTGAAATGCACTCTGCTGCGAAACCATCAAAAAAAAGTTCAATCTTTCTCTACTACTAATCAATCTCAGTTACAACAATTAGAAAACAAGTGCAACACTTTTCAAAATACATAACAGCAATATTAAACATTACCAGAATCTTCTGTACCAAACTCAAAAAATGGTCTTTAAGTCAGTTTTGGTGATTGTAAAGTTGTATGAAACAAGGCAAAAATGGATGAAAGAACAGTGCGTGGTAGGACAGTAATAGATTCAGACATAAGTTACAATTGTTCTGCACATAGAAAAGAGTGCCCAACTTACCATCATCTGCTTGCCATTACAGAGGATTAAAAAATTAAATATCTGCTGCCTGATCATTTCCATCCAAGTCTATTGATTAGAATGTGTTCATCTTCACATCTAATTTAGCAAATTTACAAGTGGCAGGTTTACTTTACCATTATCTAGAATGTCTGAGCTTTACAAAGTATTTGGAAACAAAGGCCACTAGAACTGTTGCCTAAAAATAATTTCTCACAGAGTCTAGAAAAAATATCACCTTGCAGAAAATATGGAGGAGGTAAAATTTCAAAAAAAATCAAAGATTTTACAGTGCATTTCATTTGGCTAGACATGCACATCAGTAGCACTAGATTATTACCTGCATATCTTTATATGTAAGGAAATTATCTGGTCCTCCAAAAAATTATTTATGTTAAAAATCTACTTTTTCATTCTCCTGGAAATTTGGGGAATTAAATCTAACATAGTCTTGATGAGCATAAATGCTTAACATGGAGCAAATTCGAGAAGTCTAAAAGTAAGGATATGAATTCCTAAAGAGTTAAAATGTGCACAGATTGCTCAGAACTTTAAGAGAAGCTCTTGGTTCCTTAAAATAGGGTCTGTAAACACTGTTTTTAGGTATTTTCCTCCCTCTGCTCTGAAAGGGCAAACAAGCCATTTCAGATTTTTGAATGTGAAAAATGTCCTTTCTTTTTTGAAAGTATGACAACACAACCACTTCACTTATTTCATTGTTCTTGAAATTAAAAAAATTAAAAATATAAAAAATATTACTTACCTTAAAGAGTCTTAAAATATTTGCAACCATAATGGACACAGAACTTGCTGCAGCACCTATCACACCTGATATCTTGTCTGGCTTAGTGAAAATAGGTGGGTCACCGTTTGCACACTTCACGTCTGAGCCATCTTTTTCTATCAATGCTTGCACAAATGTTAGGGACTGCTCCAATGCATAAGTGTCCCTGGAACACGTATCGAGGATACGGACACCTAAGGTGATATTGGCAAGAAGATCAGGGTCTTTATTAATTTGATCAATGGCATACAGCATTGCCTCTAGTCTGTGGATCCCCTTCTCCTTCTTGAGCTCCCCACAAGGCACCCCTCTATCCCCTTTTGCATGAACGGGGAACAGTCCTCCCAAGATGATGTCCCCATCCAGTCGAATGGAGTGGGCATATTCCTGGCCGTGAGTCCTTTGCATCAGAGTGAGTATCCAGTAGAATCTTGCTGTTAACAGGAAGAAACAATGGCAGGAAACCAATCGTTTGCCTTCGTATACCATTTTCTCTGAAGACTTTGTTGCTATCCAGTATCCAGGTTTTCTTCTTGCTAGAGGATGAGGCTGACCATTTGAAGCTGCACTTTCTGGAGGCTACCATCAGTGCCCAATAAGTAATATAGAACCATGCGGTAGGTAGGTAGAAAAAAAGATCTCAGCAGAAGTACATAAAATGTGTTTTACAAAAGATGTCCACTGATGGAACGGGTTGACCAGCTTTTCTGAGGCTGTTTTTCAATTGCTGTTAATTGGTGGTGAGGAGTAGGGTAGTATGTCTGGTCCTGATGCTAAAAGGAGGTCAGTAGCTTATGTCCTTGTATTTTGCCCTACAGCTGAGGTACTTCTGAAAAAAATAAAAAATAAATAATTTTAAAAAACAGTGAGAAATACCATTTACTTCAGCAGTTTTATACCTGTCACACAGTGTATTTTCTTTTGAATAGCAGTTACATCATCTAGGTTTTACTTTCAATGTTCTTTAACTGAGCAAATCTTGGCCTTCAGTGAATTTGAACACCTGGCTGCACTGCACTATAAGCCAGGAAATTGATGATGCCAGCAGAGCAAGAGCCGAATCAGGGGAACTAAACTTAGCTGGGTGTTCAGATTGTGAACAGTAATTCATATTTACTTTTGTGTTGCATGGCACCCAGAAACAGACCTGATCCATAACACATTATATTTTCTGTTTTGCTGCATTATTCTGTTCAACTTTTTTATTCTGCTCCAGCCTACAGAAGTGCAATAACCACTTACACTCTCACTCCTGGAGAGGTCTCATTTATGACAATGGAGTAATCAGGGCGCCTGAATTTAAGTACACCCTTCATCCAATGCAGTACAAGCACATTCAATTCATTTGGATGTTAGACTGATTATTTCTCCAATGGAATTCACTTTGAGGGGAGTCTAACTATATATCTAAATCTCCTTCAAGATAATGTCTAACACTAAATTATTCTTATGAAAAGGTAGCTGATTTCTCAAGTAAAAAGAGCATAACATATTATATTAGGAAAACAGCTATACATCAAACATTCCTTTTCCAACATTTGACTTGAGCTGAGGTTCAACATTAACAAGGTCTCTTTTCTCTATTCTCTGCTTGCACTGGACCACATTAAATAGGAACAATGTTGTGCCTGCACTGATATTTGGAGGGATCCCACTGATTTAAACAAGATGAGGATTTCAGCCTACATATCTAAACACCTGACTGACTATTATAAATATCTCCAAATTGCCCACACTTTAATTCTCAAGTGAAGGCATTTATTTCTTTCAATTCTTAACAAAATTATACATGCCTGAATAAATTTTTAAACCTCTGAGGAGAGGAAATTGAGAAGTAATTTTACCTCATACTGGATAGGTACACTGTGGGCAATTGCATCTGAACCAGTCTCTCAATACATCTGTTACAGGCTATGGAGAGCAGCGGACATCCTAGGGTAAATCTACCTTATCCTTTTTTCTACAAAAGTTTTACTTACTATGAAATTGATCACACTGAACAAGTGCCTATATTGCTGCCTGTACAGAAAATCCAGGCATCAGGGTCATCTGTAAGTATCTACTTTTTCCTTAGTAATCTGACTAGTTACTACCAAAAATATGGTCACACTGGAAGACAACTACAGACAAAACCACAAAAAATTTATATATTGTGTGGTAACAAAACTCAAAATGCACTTTGATAATGCTTTAAATTGATAATCCTCGTCTTACACTAATTTTGTTATATTATTTCCTTCCATGATAATACTAAGCTCACAGAAGTTGAAGTAGTCTTCAAATAATGGCTATTTGAAGACCTGAGAAAAAGATTCACAATGGAAAGTCTTCTACTGAATGTGAAACCATCTCACTGTGATCTGGTATTAGAACCAGTTGAAATAAAACATTTGGTAGGTATGAATAAAATCACTGCAATTGAGAACAGCACACGGGACTTTGCATGCCTCTTGACATTTCATTTTGCTTGAATTTGGCTCGGGGTTCAATGCAAAATCTGTGCTGTTTTATGTGATAATCCCACCATTCTCCCTTGGCTCTTTTTAGGCATGCAGGTTACAAAGCTGCCTGGGCTTCGGCCCTGTGAGCCAAACTCAGAGTCATTCACAAACTGAACAACTTTGACTCACACTACAGTGCAATTTGATCCAGGCCCATGGGATATTTCTCATATGGTCCACACTATAGAGAAAAGCTTGAACTACTAACTAGCCACAATTATCTGTTTTTTCTATTGCCGTAGTAGACAAAAAAAAAAAAAAAAAAAAAAAAAACAGTTATGGGTTCAAAATATCAAAGAGTAGACCTAAAATAGGTATGGAGGCAACTTGCTTTATGGTTCCACAATGAACTCAGTAGTCCATGCATGTATATACAAACCAGGCAGGGAGAAATTCACTAAGGCAATAAAAGATATGACTACTCTTATTTAACACTATATGGAGAACAAGAAAGCACCACTGACAAAGGGAAAATATTCCCAAAGGAAAGAAACACTGCTTTTTCCCCTTTCTCAGCCACAGGTTAATTCCTTACAGCCAAAGAATGTCCAGAAATTAAAGCAAGTGTCAATCTTCATGCAACAAATAGTGATGAATTCAGCTATTGCAACCTAAATTCTAACAATAGAGAAGCTACAGTGAGTCCAAGATCGTCAGTCTAATACTTTATCTGGAACTGACTGAAAATCAAATGAATTGGCAATTAGCATTTTTCAACATTATAGCCTTCATAAGCATTAATTGCTTTGCCTCAGATTGCATGGTTTCCTGAAGAAGTATGTTTCTTAGCTGCAAGTGTCCACTGCTTGTCTATAAAACAGAAATAAAATTTTAAAGTGTTCTTTTTAAAAATTTAAGACCTTTTAGGTTTTTTTAATGTTACCTAAGAAATAAAAGCTTCTATTATACTGCCTAATTTATTCATGGCACACTGCTTTTTATATATTGATTAACATTACCTTTTACAGAACATTTCAAGTCTGTGTAGCTAAGCAGAAAGCATATGATCTAAATTAATTCCATTTTTATCAATGAATTTTAGTGAAAAAGCACAGGCCTCTGGGCTATAAAGCCTGAATGAACTTTTCTCATGTGCAGAGATTTCATTTGAAGTAAAATGCTGTCCTTTTCCAAATGACCATAAAAGTTTGAATTAATGCAAATATATTCTTGATTTACCAGGTTCCCCACTGTAGTAGCTGGTGAGTTCAGAGAAGAAATTCATATATTTCCCCTGCACAGCCCAAGAGTAAGTGCACCACAAAGCGCCTCTTCCAGTCACCTTGTAATACATGCTTCTCTCGGGTTTATTTCATTAAAAATATCTGGCATTATCAGAACATATTGCTATTTTTAAAGTCAGTATTTCAGCACAAACCTCCACTTGTTCTGCTAGAATATATATTTATTTTTAAACCTAAGGAGGCGGAGTACTGCAAGACAGAGGAGATGGAAACTTCTGCATGTAGTGTCTGGTTCTGAAATTACTTCCTTCATAAAATCATTCAGCTTTATCAGATATTTGGTACTTAAGGTTGTGTATTTTTGTACCACACTGCCAGAACCAGTGCATCAGAATGAACCCAGACCAGTCATTACTACAACCACAGACTCATTGCACTAAACAACAGGCTTATTATGGAACCTCTTTATGTTAATGAAAAGGTCTAAATAATGGGTTGAGTGACAGATAAACACTTAAATAAATATAGGAAATATTTCTATTTTGTTAATGAGGTTCGTGAAAGAGCATCTTCGGCTGGCACTGAAGTTTTTTGCTGAAAACATGTAGGAAGATTCAATATGTTCATCAGGAATACAGTTTTTAAAAAAATCTCACAATTACAAATAGCAGCATGAGCAAGGAGTACTCTCTGTAGCATAGGCAGGATGGACATTTTACAGCTGACATTGTTAGGCAGACATACATGAACCCTTTATTGAAGGACAAAATAAGCTACCAAGTTAGGGGAAAAAATACCTCAGAAAAAATGTTTTAAGTTTTGTTTGAGCCAAAAAAATTAATCTGTTATTGTATTTAAAGCATAGTTGGAGCTGCACCAAGATAAAATAAAGCAAATATTCTCTGAATTAGGATACAAGAAGTTCTAGAGTGAAAACCCATTCACAAAACATCAGATTGTCCAGTCAATACAAAACTGATCTGTTTTTACTGAATGAAAACAAAACAACTGGAAAATTCCATTATTAAGTTCTGGGAAGCAAAAAAAACCCCAAATTTTATTATTATTATGTTTTACTACCAACACCTCTGAACTATGAAGGAATTATCTTGTAAACATTCATTTCATTGTTCACAAAAGTTGCTTCTTTCTCCTGTACAGCATTCCACAACAAGCAAGTAGCTGAATTTCCACATAGAACAGGTAAAGAGTTGCCACCTGCACACAGCAGCCCGACACATATAGAAGATTAATGGGTTTTGCTGACAACAAAAGGGAATTTGGAAAACCTTTGGCCTTGACATCGCAACTCCTAACTTGCAAGAGAATTCTTCACTGATGTAAGTAGTCTTATCTACCTTGGCTCTTCTGTAATGGTTTGCTGTGCCCCTGCCACAGAGGTAACCTTTACACAATAATCAGGACTTCAAGGCGAATCACTCTCAGCACCTCGTTTACAGGAACTATTTCTTCCCTGTGCAGTCCGATGTCTACCCTCAGCCTAATCAGCCCCTTTTCAAATACCCCAGAGCACCTGCCTTCACTTCCTACCCTGCAAATATCCATTTACCAAACAAGATACCCTGTGAAAATCCAACACAGGTCCTTCTGCTGGGGTAAGACTAAGAGGAGCCTACAATTTTTTAAAAAATAAACTACGTTGAGTATTTTCCTCTGCCCTTGCTTGGACTTTATGAACCCCATCAGAATTAACACCTTCAGAAAAAGGGTTCACCTCTGGTCCAGCAAATTATGATCAAGAATTTCCCAGGCACCCTAGGAGAGCTTTCTCTGTTGTTTCTGCTTTCATTTGACCCTCTTCCCACTAGACTCCCGCTCCCCCAGTCCGCACAGCTGTGTTCAGAGCAGGTAGGGCTGGTGCAGTCCGGTGCTCTGCAAGAACGGCTTTGCCCCCAGAAACACAGCCGCACGCCGAAATCGTCCCGGGGCATCCGGCAGGAAAGTCCCCCACTGTGTCCACTCCCGACCCCGGCGACGGCACCAAGCGAGCGGGCGAGTCCCCCGGGCGAGTCCCCCGGGCGAGCATCGTTCCGCATCCCGCTCTCCACATCCCGCTCTCCGTATCCGGCGCAGGGCGCGCCCGTGCGTTCCGCAGGGCGCTCCGAGCAGCGCTCCGCGAACCGCGCCCGCGCACTCCGCACAGCGCAGCGCAGCCAACTACGCGGACCCTGCACCGCACCCGCGCAGCCGGCACCCCGCGCAGACCTCCGCACCGCCGCTCTCTGCCCCTCCGCCCCTCTCCGCCTGCCGCCGGCGCACAGCAGCGGGAGCCAGCAGCCGGCCACGCACCGGCTTTCCGCGCGGCTCCTCCGTGCTTTCCCGGCTCTCCGCGTGCTCGGCACCTTTCCCGGCCCCAGGAACGGCTACCGCAGCCAGGCCGGCCCCGCCCAGCGGAGGGGCCCGGGGAGTGCCCCCGGGCTGGGCGAGCCGGCTCTCCCCGAGCAACTCCGCGACCATCGCCCATCACCGCTGCGCTTCTCCCTTGAAGGGAGCCCCCTATTGTTCTCTACTTTACTTAGCCGAGCGATTTATTATTTTTTGTCTCTTCCCAGGCTCATCCGTACCCCAGCTAGCGTGTGCTGTGGAGGGATTCCGGCACAGCCTGGTTGCGGCTCTCCTCGCAGCCTCGCTCCTTCCAGCGAGCGGCCGTAGGACGGCTTTGAGTTGCCTCCCGCCGCCGCGTTGCAGCCGAGGCGGCCCGTGGGCGGGGGACGGAGGGCACATACGGATTTCCCGGCTGGAGCCAGGGCTCCGCCGGTCCCCTCCGAGCCCTGGTTCTCGGCCGAGAGTGCTGCACCTCCGTCAGCGGTGATGCAAAAACAAGCGTCTCCTTTTATTTCCAGCCGCCAGTGATTCCTTCCTCTCCTTGCATCAACTAGTCAGCTTTAATGAGCTTCTGTTCCCACCTCGATGCAAACCTAAGTCTCGTTTAATGAATCCCTGGTCCCAGAGGTCTGAAGCTTGCAAACTCCAAAATGCCAACGTCGGATTTCCATGCACTTTGGGTCACTGATTGATTTTTACTACTTGTGTTGTACGGTTTTTGTGTTTGGTTTTCTTATTTCTCTGGTTTCTGTTGCTGTTGGTTGGCTTGTTTGGTTTGGGTTTTTTAACCGTGTCGTACGTTCACCCGCCAACACTTTGCATTCCTGCAATCAGCACATGCCAGCGCTGGGGACGCTGCTCCACGCCGAGGACAGTTAAGCCCTTGCCTCGTGCCGGTACAGCCTCTCGCCTTCTCCCTCGGGGGAAGAAGCCCCCGGAGCTCGGCGGGGATCCTCCTGCCCCTTCCCTCCCCAGGGACGCAGGGGTGTCCCCGGCGGAGTCAAGGAAGCTGAGCCCACCCGGCAAGGCATGGGCGGGCGGCCGGCACCTCGCCCCGACCCTGGCCCCGGAGAACTTGGCGGCGGCGGGCAGGGTTCACTCCTGGCCAGAGAAACGTGAACAAGGTGGCGGGGAGCGCGGGGGAACCCCTGTACCCCCCTCCCCCGAGGGTGGGAGAGGACCCGGCTAACACAGCCGGGGGGACACCTCACTGCTCGGGAGTTCCGAGATTCTCCCTTTTTGTTCGCTGCTGTGACGGCACCGTGTCCGGGATCTCTTTCGTTAGATCTGATTGGGGGAGGATATCGGCAATAAAAATGATAAATAATTAACGAAAAAAAAAATAAAAGCTCCCGGCGCCACGAAACAGGCGGAGAGGATTGCCCGGGATTCCCCAGCCCAAAAAATCTTAATAGGCAAAACGCGCATTTGCCTTCTAATCTCTGCTTAAAATAAGAACTAAAGACGACACACACAGATACACAAATACCTTGATCGAAAAGAGTTGCATATCCATGTTACTGTTGAGGTCCCTGGAATTGTACTCGGTGTCGATCGGGAATGGCATGAGGTAATTTCTGTACAAGCCTCGTCTCAGACAGCTTCCCTCAGCAGCGTCAGCTTAATATGCGAGAGCCCAGCCTGGGACAGGTATCCAGGAAAGCGGTTTCAGTCGTACTGTTTAACAGTCGCGAACAGCCAAGCCGAACCTGCTTCACTGACTCCTTCCTCACTTCTCCTCCCCTCCCCTAAAAAAAAACAACAACAAAAAAAAAAATCCACAAGGTAACTTTTTGGGGTCAGTGGCTCAGCGCCCGTGACGATACCAAGCCTCCCTTGCCTTGCCGCTCAGTCGCAGAGCGGACACACGCCCCGGCCCGGCCGAGCCGTTCACAGCCAAGCAAGAAAACACCCCAGCCCCCGCCCCCGGCCCAGCCCCCCGCGCCGCCGGAGCGGTCCGCGCCAGGAGCCCAGGCTCGGAGCCCCCGGGCGTCGGCGGGAGCGGCACGACGCTGCCTGCGCTTACCGCGACTCTGGCGGGACGGGCACGGCACGGAACCGCGGGGCACGGCCCGGAATGGCTCAGCGCGGCGGGGCGCGGTAGAGCACGGCTCGGCACAGCGGGGCGGGCGCGTAGCCACACTTGTAGCTGTTCTTGGTGCTGAAGGAGGCGACGCTCCGCGGCAGGACCAGACAGGGCAGGACAGGGCAGGGCACGGCACGGCACGGCACGGCACGGCACGGCGCGGCTCCACGTGAATCCCCAGCTGGTCGCGGGCCGCGGCTCCGGGCCCGCCCGCCGCCGTCGGCACCGCCCTCCCCGGCACAGCCGCTCCGCCCGGGGCGCGGTGCGGCGAACACCGCGGGATTCCCGAGCCGAGGAAGCCGGTAAAGGCTGAGGCTGCGGGAAGCGGGAGCGAGGGGGACAAAGAGGGGGTCACCGGCGCGGGCCGGGACTGTGTGATGCGGTCTCCCCCAGGGTGCGGAGCTTCCATCCCCATCCCGCCTTCCGCGGGCGGCGGAGTCGCGTCCCCCGCCACAGGATCGATGACACAGGATAAGATTCCCGACGCTCTTTGTCCCGTCCCCGAGTTTGGCTCGCAGCTCGGATCCCGGGTGGCGGAGTTCCCCTTTATCTCCCGACACCAGGCAGGTTTCGGCAGCGCCGAGCCAGGGCCGTCCCGGAGGCTGAGGGACACAGCCGGGAGCGCTCGCCGGAAGGCTCTGGAAGTTTGCCGCGCTCCTAAAGGCTCTGCCCACCACACGAGCATTGCACGGGGATGCCCCGGGCCGGCAGCGCCCGGGCCGGCCCCGCGGAGCCGCGGGAGCGCAGCCCCGGCGGGGCCGCAGCGCCCGCCCGGGAGCGCCGCTCACCGCGGGGAGAAGGTTCCACCTCCAGGGCGCTGCCCGCAACTGCAGCCGCGGCGCCGGCAGCGCTCGGCTCGGCACAGGGCGGGCTCCGAGCCCCAGGGGCAGCACGGCCGGCTCGTCAGGCCCCTGACATCAACCAGATCTTTTCCGTCGTCCCATCTCACCTAGTCTGAACTACTTTCCTTAAAAGGAACAACATTTTTCTTTGCTTCGCTCAGGGCTGTCTCATTTACTTAGAACAGCATTGCTGGAAGGAGGAATTCCAAGAATGCTTAAATATGTCCAGCCAGTGCTTCCATGATCATCTTTTTTGTGTGTTACCGCTTGTGTTTGGGTTAAAGGTCTGCCCCATTAGCAAACCACGGGACTCAGACAATGCTCGATGAGTCGTTCAAGCCTGTAACTTCTCTTATGGAAAAATTATTTTACAATTGCAAAATGGCACTGGGAAAACTGCCAGGTCTTAGCAGGATATATTATCTCATGTTTGCATTTGGTTTTTTTCTCAGAATCTTCCATGACAGAAGATGGAGGAGATGTGGTTTCAATGATCTATCTCAGAAATCAGGAATATAGTCATATGAGTGACTCAATATCTTGATGTTCAACCTTGAGCAAAATTCTATTCCAGATATCCTCCTTTACTCCCATCAGGAAAATCAGCCATGCATCATCACTGTTGGATAGACCAATTTCTAACTGCATGTATACTTTGCCTCTCAAGCAGCTTAACAGAAAGTTCAGCAAAGCAAAACCAAGTGATATCCTGAGGGCACAGGTGATGCCTGAACTCTTTTGTGAATCTTGCAGCTGGAGAAACAGGCTGGGGTCAAAAGATTAGGATACAGAAACCTCCAATGTACTTCCAGCTTGGCCACAAGCCTGAATGTAACCTGGTGCCTCCCTCTGTTTCTTCTAGCCACATCTTTTCTCCAGCACCATTTTGAGGACATGAAGGGTGTATTTTTTACATACATTTGGAGTGAGTACCACAATGACTTTTTGGTGGGAATATGATAAATAAATGCACAACTGAAGTTTGCTGTGTTTTAACTAAATGCAAATAGAGAAAATTAATTGGGGGGGGAGGGGGGGGGAGGCAGGGAAGATAATAAGAAGCTTCACATGGCCATTCCGTGAGGATAGGTGACACAGGTGAGAGGCAAAACACATCCATGATTCTCTGAGCAGGATTCTGATTCAAACCCAACAGTAGCTAATGTCAGTTTGTACAGAGGGCTAATGTCAGGGCTGGTGACAGCTATTACCTGCACAAGTAACTTGGAAGGCAAGAAATCCAGTTCTGGAGACCAAGCTGTCATAAAGGAGATCTTAAATTATGGGGTTTTTTTATTAGTGAATTCCCGTTACAGGCAGCATCTGACACCTAACAAGACTGGCAGGACCATGCTAAAATGGATCATAGCGGCACAGCCTGAGAGGCTGGAGGTTTAACCCCTGCCTGCAATAAATGCTTACTGTAAACATCTCTTTATAGCCAAGCAAAACCAAATGCATCAATCTCTGTGCCTCTTTAACACAGAAGTTGTTGAACCTCTGTGCATCCAAGCAGTGATTTCGACAAAGTAACTCATGTTCCAATGTCTCTCTACCATAACTGCAATCACCAGTACAGTTTTCAATGACATTCAAATGGACCTGATTTTTTTTCATTTGAAATGGTGTGAAGTTCTGACACTCTGACTTCTGGATGAGGTTTTTGTTGCTACTTAGGTGAGAAATGTAACTTTCTGAGTTATTCAAACATGGGAATTGAGCCCAAAAAGGCAATAAAACTTCTTGAATAATCATTGTTCAGCAAGAGCCTGCTGATTAATAGCTATTAAAGAATACAGAACCACAAAGTCACTGACTTCCATTAAAGTGATAGTGGATACTACTGGGTTCTGAGTTACAAGGTGCTACAGAAAAAGTGTGTTTGAATTTTTCAAGAAACATTATCATTAAAGAAAAGAACTTAAAACTTGGGTGTTTCATGTGCACTTCTTTAAGAATAATTTTTTTTTAATAATTTTATTATGTGGAGAAAAAAAGAAAAGGTGGAGAAAAGGCACTACACATCAGTAACTATGACAGAAAGCATTATCTGGAGGCCAAAGAAAGTGTGCAACTATCTGTTAATAGAATATACCTTCAGAAGGCCCAACTGTGGCTTGTTTCAAATAAATGTTTCAGCAATGAACAGGAGATGTAAAAGCTTAAACTTTAAAAAGAAAGGTAGCTATCATGTAGGAAAGGCAGCCTTGTTTCCAGGCAAGACATTTTCAGAATGTTTCTAATTTCCAAATCTGTCTAACAAACTCCAATATGCTAGAAGATTTTAGCAGCTGGAAACCGTTGTTCTGCTGGAAGGAGCAGCACATGAACATAATTTGGTAAATGGGTTTTTGAAACCTTTGAAATGGCAGGGACACTAAGTCCCACCAAAGCCAAACTAATGAAGCAGAGTACAGCAGGTCTGGCGGCAGCAACCAAAGTCAGCACATCCCAGAGATTGCTAGACAAGTCACAAGGCTAAGGCAAGTCTGAGGTCAACCCAGGAATTCAACCTGGGAGATCAGAATCTTCATTAGAGGGGTACATGGCAATGCACAAGCATGGCTGAAACAGCTCCAGGAAGGGCAAAGAAGGAATATCAGAGCTTTAAAAAGCTCTGGGGAGCCCAAAGGAGATTTCTTAGAGCTTTCTCACAAAGCTCTCCTCAGCAGCCTGACCAGGGTCACCATAGCCTTGTGTCTGAGTTGCCTCGACCACTAGCTGCCAAAGCCATGGGAGCTGAGTAGGGCTATTGGCCCCCATTTATATACTGGTCAAAGTCTTATGTCATATTCTCTTACATCTCCTTTTTTTGCACAGAACTAGAGGATAACAGTGACACATCTCTCCGAAACACGTCAAAAATTTGACAGGTTTTCTTAAAGCACAGTATAAGAATTTGCCTCTCAATATGATTGAAATGTGAAGGAGACAGATCTGGAAGTCAAAAATAGTGGACACATACTACATTTAAGTGAAGGATACAGTATATTTATGAATCAAATACGGTGTTTCCAAAATAGAAGTGGATGATGAGCCTGCAAAATACTCTCCCACACCAGCCAGAACACTGAAGTCAGCAGAGAGGTTTGTGAAACAGAACATTTGCTAAAGAGAAGAGACTTGATGCTAATTAACCAAAAATTACAACACCCCCAAAGGGAGTTATCCATTCTTACACCATTATAATGGGGACAGTCTCCACTAGCATGTCCTCCAGTATAATGACTATATGGTTTTATATTGATAAAGTGTCTATAGAGGTACTAAGTTCAGGTGCTTCTAAAACCCTAGTCTTTCATTTTGTCCTTCAGTAAAGAAAAAATGGAATCATGTTTAAGAGTGCCTCTCACTCTAAGCCACTTTAAAAAAACTGATAAAAAGCTATATATAGTGATTACTTCACTAGCCTTTGAAATGCTGACAACTTTGAGGTGAGGTACAAAAAACGTTTATAAATCAGAAAGCCAAGCCACATTACCTTTTCAACATGCGATCCATAACCTTTCCTTACACAATAGCAGATGGATACAGGTATTTTAC